TCTTTGTGTTTTTATGAAGATTGTAACTAAACAAGTTACTATAATTTGTGAACTGAGTTGAGTTTCTGTGTTTTTCCAACAGTGGTCTTGAATAGACTGAGGAATAGAGAGGAAAATAGGATTTTAAATTGTTTGTAGTTTTTTGAATTTTGAATTTTGGTTGTTTTCTTAATCTGCTTAATTGTCCTATACTGTTCTGTTTTTCTTTTTTGTTTGTGTTTTTATGAAGATTGTAACTAAACAAGTTACTATAATTTGTGAACTGAGTTGAATTTCTGTGTTTTTTAAACAGTGGTCTTGAATAGACTGAGGAATAGAGAGGAAAATAGGGTTTTAAATTGTTTTGTAGTTTTTGAATTTTGAATTTTGGTTGTTTTCTTAATCTGCTTAATTGTCCTATATTGTTCTGTTTTTCTTTTTCTTTGTGTTTTGATGGAGATTGTAACTAAACAAGTTGCTATAATTTGTGATCTGAGTTGAATTTCTGTGTTTTGTAAACAGTGGACTTGAATAGACTGGGGAATAGAGAGGAAAATAGGTTTTTAAGTGTTCTTGGTGGAAAATAGGGTTTTAAATTGTTTTGTAGTTTTTAAATTTTGAATTTTGGTTTTTTTCTTAATCTGATTAATGATGCTATAGTGTTTTCTTTTTCTTTTTCTTTGTGTTTTGATGAAGATTGTAACTAAGCAAGTTACTATGATTTTGTGAACTGAGTTGAATTTCTGTGTTTTTTAAACAGTGGACTTGAATAGACTGAGGTGGGAAATCTGATTCTTAATCCAGGCTCTTCTTTTATGGAGCTAGGGATGTCACTGAGGGGTGATGATGCTTCAGTACATTCTATTACTTTATTTGTGGCACTTCTATGTGCTTGCCTTGTGATTGGTCATCTTTTGGAGAAAAATCGGTGGTTCAATGAGTCAATAACCCCAATTTTCATTGTGAGTTTCTTAAATTACTCTGAAACCTGACCCAAGACTGGTTATGAGTTCATGAAAATAAATGTACTTTCTTTGGTTTATTTGTTTCATGACAGGAAAAGGTAATATTAGGCTATTATTTGGTGGTATATTGCAGGGACTTTTTACTGGTATTGTGATTCTATTAACCTCCGCAGGAACGAGCTCACATCTTTTCATTTTCAGTGAAGAGCTTTTCTTCATATATCTTCTGCCTCCTATCATATTCAATGCTGGGTAAGTATGGCTTATGCGCATGTTAAACTTACTTGACCAAATGACTTTTTAGTTTTTGTTCTCCCATCGGTTTTCTGTGTTGCCAATAATGTAAGTCATATTGAGTATTGTCATAAGAAGATTAGAATTACAATAGCTTTCATTCATCTCATGTATGAGTTTGCCCTGGGACCAAAGCATTTATCTTGTTTGAAAGGCATTGAGCAGCATTGCTCAAAACATTTTTCTTTGGCTGCCAACCTGATTATATACTCACAAACAGATGATTCTGATCTCCAAACGCCCTCTCTAACTTTTTTTTCTTTGGCATTTGAATGGTATTTGATGATCTGAATATTTTATCTACCAGGTTCCAAGTAAAAAAGAAGCAGTTTTTTCGAAATTTTGTGACAATCAGCTTGTTTGGTGCTGTTGGTACTTTGATCTCGTTTGTCATTATATCAGTAGGTATATCCCTAACCTCAAAGAGGGCTCTTTTTTTAAAAGTTCTCGGTAGTGTGTGTAATTTCTTGCGTTGATAAATGCAATATACTTCATGGTCGGCTCCCATTTGTCTGATTTTTCTCCTCTTGTCCTTCTGCACTAGTGTTTTACATGTTCCATTCATTTTTGACGGTGTACCTTGGTATGTTATAGTTTCCAAAATCCCTTTTTGTAAGTTTTGGCTTAAAAGAAGAAAGAGGGAATTTAGGCTATGTTTGGTACAGCTGGTGGGAAGTCCTTTTGGACTCCAAAAGCTCCAGCTGCACCAAGCACTATAATTTGTAAAAAATGCTACAACTTCTCACAAGTTAGTATTTTGTCCATTTCATTGCAAATCTCAGAAGCACCAAATTGGTGTTTTTGTAGGAGCTTCTCATTTGGGTTTTAATAAAATTAGCACATTATTCCTATTTTATCCTTATTTTTCTTTCTATTTACAAAAACAGCACTTCTACAACAGTTTCTTTCCAGCAGAACTTCTATTAAAAGCTTGAGCCACACCAAATGGGCACTTAGTTTATAAGACTTTATCCTCTATCCTGCCTGTAGTGAAAAAGCTAGGCATGATGGAAACTTTATGTAGTATCATTTTGCAGTTTTTCCATGTGCATTAGAGTTTGACACGCTCAATTGGTTTTTGACAGCACACATTGGTATTTGTTGTCTCCAAAAATCCATTTTTCCTTTTTTAAGTTTTGGCTACAAAGAACGAAGGAGTTTAATTTATAAACTTCAATCTTACCTGCATTGAAAAAGGTAGGCATGATGGAAACTTTATGTATTATTAACTATCTAGCAGAATCATCATTGGTCATATGTGATTGAAGCACCAGGAAAATTATAAGCATCGGGAAAATTATAAACATAAATTTTAAGGTGGTTTTACCATGTCTGTTCATGAATCCTTGAAAGCTCTTAGTAGTTTGTCTAGTTTTCTGTTCAATGAAATTACTCATTTTTCTCTGTTCATTCTTAATAATATTGCTTTCATAAATTTCAAATGCATTGTAAGCTTGCAAGTAAATCATAGACTACCAGCATATTGTGCCATATGTTAGTAATAAAACATGCCTCAAGTAAGTATACATGGCCTTGTAAGTTTCAAGGAAATCTACTCGTGTTTGTAAATTTATGTTGCCTGATGCCAACTCACACTATGTTCTATGATTAATCAAGCTGTAAACTTTTGATACAGGTTGTCTGCAGTTATTCAAGAAATTGGATGTCGGTTTTCTTGAGTTGGGAGATTATCTTGGTATTGTTTTTACCCTTGAATGGTATTTATTTTATAGATGTATCCATGCATTTTTTATTTTATTTTATTTTTTTATGGATCAACTGTTTCCTCTTATATATATATATATATATATTGATGGGTCAGATGTTTCCTTGTATAAATTGTATGTTTAACATAAATGGAGCTCTTTACGGAAATTACAATTAGAAGTAAGGTTATATTTTAGAGCCCCCACTTGCACTTTGAAGCAGCTAACTTAAGAGTACTAGGCTACAAAATAAATCCTATTTGATTTTTTAAGTGGGGAAGGTCTAGAGATTTTTTATTTTTTATTTGAAGTTTTCTATTTGATTTTGAATTACTTTTAACAATTTACCTACAGCGTAATTTCTCTGGAGGTTGGCTGCCTTTCTGTAAAAGAAGAAGTTTAATGTCTTGGTTTAACGCTTGTCATAGTTTTAGCTTTATATAATGCATTAAACTTCCTTGCTTCATTAATTCTTTATCTCCATAATGACACTCAACATTTTTCATTTTTTAGCACTTGGAGCAATCTTTTCAGCCACAGATTCAGTTTGCACCTTGCAGGTAAATATTTGCCTCTGTCTGTGTAATTGAAAATTAGGTGTCTGTTGTACAATAAGCTTGGTATCCGTTGTTACAGGTGCTAAATCAGGATGAGATGCCTCTTTTGTACAGTCTAGTCTTTGGTGAAGGTGTGGTCAATGATGCTACATCTGTTGTACTTTTCAACGCAATCCAGAGATTTGATCTCTCTCACATAACATCAAGCATTGTTTTGGAGTTCATTGGCAATTTCTTATATTTATTTATTACAAGCACACTCCTAGGAGTGGGGGTGAGTGTCTCTCTCTTTTTACTATTCTACATATTTGTTCTGTGCTTTCATTTTGATGTTTCACCCACAAGTCATATTTCTACCATTTTTTCCCTAAAAGACGTAGGCTTTAATGGTAATTGAAGGTTGTTAACACCTTCTTTCCTTCTTATCTTTGTCATTAAGGCAGATCATGCATCTTTGGAGCTTCTTTAGTGGCATAGTTTTCGTATCACAAATCATGTGGCATAAGTAGTTATGCAATTTCTTTTCGAGTTTTGGCTACATAAGACATTGCAAGCATTTATGATTGTATTTATCTCTTCTACTTGTAGGTTGGGTTGCTAAGCGCATACATCATAAGAAAGTTGTACATTGGCAGGTATGTTAGGGCTAGTAGTTGGAAATCTTATTCTGCTTATTTTTGTCTTTTCAAAAAGAAAAAACAATCTTTTCCTGATATTCTTTTGTTATGTCTTTTTTTTTTTTTTTTCCCTTATTTTCTGGTTTATTCCGTTAGAAAATTATATTTGACTTAGAGTTGGAGTGATAAACTCAATTTTTATTAGTCTGGTTTAGGTATACTCTGGAGCCTTATCATTCTGTTGGTAGGCATTGTCTATTAAGGGAATACTAAGTCCTAACCTTGTTGCTTGCAAGTGTTTGTAAAATTGTTTATGCCAGGATCTATGGTAGAATTATCAGTTTGATCCACATGGTTCTTTATAAATTGCCTGGGATTTTTATGTAAAAAATTTAGTTGTGCCTGGTATTATGTTTTTCTTGAGTGGAGAAATTCGTTGTGGCTGATTAGTTTATGCACAATAGATTCTGGTTATATGTTTTCTTGTTTGACAATAGTTGATATGGTTAGTGAATGCTTCAGACTAGAAAACTTTAGAACTCATGTATCTTTGTTTTCTGATTCTTTTTTACTGTCAGGGTCCATCTGTGTAACTTTATGCAATAGGATTCCCATTTCTTGGAAACTAAAGTGGGTGAAATTTACTGAATACAGGCACTCTACTGATCGTGAGGTTGCTCTCACGATTCTTATGGCTTACCTTTCATATATGATAGCTGAAGTAAGTTCTATTCTTGGCCTGCCTGATGCCTTTATGGATACTTGAATAGTATTATTTTATACCAGATATTCTATTTTTGTTGCATGTCATCTTACTTAAGTCTTTAAGGATGACAATGGTACTGCTATCTGTTTTGCAGCTATTCAATTTGAGTAGCATTCTTACCGTGTTCTTTTGTGGAATTGTCATGTCACACTACACATGGCATAATGTAACTGAAAATTCTCGAGTCACAACCAAGTATGTTAACTGTCTGGATCTTTTCTTGGTTGTCATGATATTGTTTGCCTTTGCTTTGTTGAGATCACGTTCAAACCTGAAACAGGTGTTATTAAATTATTGTGCTGGTTGCAGGCATGCATTTGCAACATTGTCTTTCATATCTGAAATCTGTATCTTCCTGTATGTTGGTATGGATGCTTTGGATATTGAGAAGTGGGGAGTGGTAAACAAGAGGTAAGTACTGTTCTTTTTGGCCAAATAAATGAATACGATTGCAATATTTTCCCTTTTCTGCTCTGCCTGGTCATGGGATTATCAACATGTTGCTCCTTTCTATTTCTTCTTGGCTTCCTTTTTTTTTGGTAATTTTGTCATTTTTGACAGCCGAGGGACATCTTTTGGGGTGAGTTCAATACTGCTTGGCCTGGTTCTGCTAGGAAGAGCAGCTTCTATTTTTCCCCTATCCCTTATATCCAATTTATTTAAGGCGTGTCCAGCTGATAAAATTACACTCAGGCAGCAGGTCAGTTGTTATGGTTGTGCTTTAAGTTCTCCTCTAGTCCTCCCTTCTTGAATTATGTATTAATGTACTTGACTCAAACAGATAACAATATGGTGGGCTGGGCTCATGCGAGGTGCTGTGTCAATGGCACTTGCTTATAATCAGGTAAATTAAGTGGTAGTATGTTTGCAGTTTCAAAAAAATGGCATAGGTTAATGATTTTGTCATGGAAGCTGGGCATACCATACCAATCACTTCATCCTTGTATATCTGGGGAATGCATTGTCTTGGATTTATTTTGTAATTTGATATGATAATATTGGCAGGTGAGATAGATTCATATACTTTCCTATGCCATTTTGCTGTGTCTTCTAATTTGTTTGCCTTGTAGATGAGGATTATTTAAAAGATGAGTACGATATAGGCAAGTATTTTATGCATGACTATTATACACTAGATTTTTATAGACTTGTGGCACAGCAACATAATTTAACATCTTTACCACATGCTGATGAGTGGTTAGGCAGTCACAGTGCATTTAATGCATTCTGCAAACATGTGACTGATTTTATTGGCAAACTGGAGTGACATTCCTCTTGTATACAAGTTATATTTCTATTCAATTAGAATGCATGGAATCAAACTACTGGGAGTTGGCCACATAGTGAACCTATATTTACCTTTTTCTTTTTTGTTATTTCTCACATTTGACATTTCTCATTCTTCACCAAATTTATAATGTACTTGCAGTTTGCTAGATCAGGGCATACTCAAAGACTTGGAAATGCTATTATGATCACCAGCACGATCACAATTGTTCTCTTCACCACCGTGGTAAGGGGCCTTTCAGGTCAAAAGATAATTTTTTTCCCTCGAGTTCAGCCCTTTTGTTATTTTTTGGTGTCTCCCTCGCCTCTGTAGCATGGCTTACTGCTTCCCTTTTTCTTCTTCTCTCCTGAACTTTAAGATTGTTGTGAGGGAACTGACTCTACATCATGCACCTGTGAACTGGACCTGCATTTTTAATTTCCCAAACCAAAGAGCAATCTCTGTCTTAATTGTCTTCAAATTGTGATGTGTTTTCTCCGCTTTTCAGGTGTTTGGATTACTGACCAAGCCTCTCATTAGTTTCCTGCTGCCAATGAGACAACCCAGCAGCACGGCTGGTGAATTGCCCATTGATAAGTCAATCACTGAGCCACTTCTTGCCAATGGCAATGGCAATGAGCATGAACAACTTCTTGCCAATGGCAATGGCCATGTGCATGATCAAGAATCTTGCATGACAATTCCTCGTCCTACAAGTCTACGGATGCTCCTTACTGTCCCAGCCTATACAGCAGTTCACTACTACTGGCGAAAGTTCGACAATGCATTCATGCGCCCTGTGTTTGGTGGTCGAGGATTTACCCCTCTTGCTCCTGGCTCACCAACAGATCCGATGGTTCTTCAGTGATGAAAATTCATTCTATTTTGGACGCAAATATAAGTTGCAGAGCTTTAGAAATTATCTCTTGTAAATATTACTAATTAAGATGAGAAAAAGAATTCATAGCTCTATGATATTCCAGCGATACCTAGCTGGCTTAGTTTAAGTGGTTTATTGGGAATTGTTTTTTTGTAATCTTGAGTTGTACGGTGAGAGAGGTAATTAATTTACTTTGCATGGAAGATGTACTTATGTTTTTTTTTTTTAAAAAAAAAATCATTATTAGAAACAAATAATAAAATAAGACACATAACAAAAAAAAAAGAGTAAAGTAAAAATTCGAATATATAATATTGTAAGTGGTAATGTTATAATGATAATAATACATAAAATTATAAATTTATAATTATGGTGTGGTATTAAACTAGTAGCATTAAATAAGTATGATGTATTAATTAAGTAGATGTTTATAATATTATATGTGAATTTTTAGATAAAAAGCGATAATTATATAATGATATATTATGTTATTGTTTTTTTAAAAATCATCTATTGATTTTGTGCGTGTAAAATTTGGATGCGGGCGTGTCATTTATTTTGCTAAAAGTAAAAAATGAGGGCTTTTTAACTCACGGTCGACTTCCTTGTAAATGACGGGAAGAACGTTGGATTAAAATTGATATATGCGCCTACAGATGATTTGCAAGATGAAGGGATACATTCTTGCAGAATATGTTATTAAATCTGTCTTGGACAACTTCAATAACTTAAACACTATTATGAATTAAAGTTAACAAATCTTAATTAAACTAAACAGCATGTAATTGAAAGTAAATTTACGAGAATAAGATGTACCTAAAATAAATTAAATATGTTCATCATTAAATTAAAATGTTATCTATTGACAGATCTGAAAATTAAACTATTGCAGAATTAGAGATTCTACCCTAATTAAACTAAAACAAACATGAACAAGAATTAAATTAACATGCTTGAAGTTGAGAAGAAGCGTAAACGTCATCTAAGTAATCATTGAAAAAATATTACTTATCATAAACATTAAATTAATTACAGATAGAAAAAGAACAGTACCTTGAATAAATTTGAAAGATTGAAGTTCATTGTATAAAACGAAATTGTTGAAGTGAATACATGAATTAATTTATCTACTGGAATGATAAAAAATAACCTAAATCTATTGAAAATTATGCTGAAATTCGAAATCTGGAAGCAATGACAAAGAAATTGAAAGTCTAAAAATTTGCAAATGTTTGAATAGAATTAGCCGTGTGTTCTTTCTTCCAAAATTTCTTTTTTGTTCTCCTTTGACTGACAGTAACTCCTCACTTTTTGCAGTTACAAAGTTATGGGTGGTTTCTCGAGGTAGTGGACAGTTTAACAATTAACTTGATCAGATTTCCTTCTAGATTTTCGCCACATGTGCCCTTATTAGATAACTCCTTTCTATAACTGCAATTTCCTCCTAAATTTCAACTAAAACAGTCATTTTTTGACTTAAAGAGGTAATTACACAGTAAAATCTTATCTTTATTTCTCTTTTTTGTCAATGTAGCAGTTGACCTGTCATAGGGCCTATAATAACAAATTTGACATGGCTTAGTCTCCTCCATCCATTTAAAAATTTTTACACGTGGCATTATCTTAAATTTTTGCAATTTATGGTATAAACAGTTATATATTTATAATATGAAATTACTGTATATCAATTTTGATTTTTAAAAATAATTAGAGTTTTAATTTATATTTGAAAACTGAAATAAAATTTTATTAAATATTGATATTTAAATTCAAAAATTTATTATATATTTTAATATATTAATATATAATAAGATAATTTTTTAAATTTTAAATTAAATTTTAATTAAATAAAACAACGTAATTTAAGATTAAAGTTGTAATTATTTTTGAGAAACAAAATTGATATGTATTTTTTTATAATATTACATGATATTATAATTATAATATTTTTGTATTTTAAATAATATGATTATTTGTAAAATGGTTCAAATATTTTTAATAGATTTTCTTTATATGTAGATATGTTAAAAGTATTTAAGTATTTTTATTATTATGGCTGAAATTATTATCACTCCCAAACTTATTAATGTCGCAGCTTATTTATTGTATAGATTATTTTACCCTTCATAATTTATGGTTTTTTAAAATTGTTGTTATATTTTGAAATCTCTTAAAAAAAATTAAAAAGAAATATCAAAACCGAATGGGAGTCCACGCCATTGTGCGTTTCCCCAGAGTTGGAGATTAGCTTTGTTTCTTCCTCTCATTTTGTGGTACCGTCTTGTTTCTTCCTCTATTGACTTCGATTTTCTTCACTTTTTTTTTTTATTTTTTTGTATGAATCATTCGGTATTTAAAAGTTTATTGAACCATCAATTAATTCAGATTTGAGTCGATCAGGACTCAACAAATGATAAAACTTTCCCTCACGAGTTTTAACAGAACTGTATTCTTAAAACTTAAAACTAAAACTTTTGATTAAATTAAAAAAATCTCTTATCAACTTATTCACCCGTTCCTGAGTGATTTTCTTCACTCTTTGCCTCTACCGTACATATCCTTTTGTCTTTTCCCTTTCTTTACGGCCAATTGCTTTTACTTTGCCCTGGAATTTGGCTTCTTTTATTTTTGGGTTGGTGCCGTTGGTCTTTGATTTGGTTATATATCCTCTCAATTTCAACAATGTCTTCTTAGATCTAGTTTTTCTAATCATCATTTGCTTCTATTTCATCAAGTCTCACCACATCCGCCATCTTCTTCATCAAAACCCAGCCTCATCGTGTCTCACCACTTCATTTTGCTGATGTTCTGTTTTGAAGCAAGGGATAATGAAGGAAAAGAAAAAGAAAAACTATTTTCAGTTGTAAGACAGCAAATCTTTATCGACAATTGAAAATAAAATGTTTGATTCAATGTCGGAGGATATAAAAGAAACCTTTGAAATTAATTATCGAATTAAAGGAAATGAATGAAATTCTATATAAATATTGGATTGAAGAAATAGTGAACAAAATTTGAAAGTTTGCCCCCCCGAGGAACTGCAATAGAGTGTGTAGAGAGAGGAAGATCGATGGACTCAATTTATTTTCTGTTTAATTTACTCTTTGATAATTATTTTAATTTGTTCTGATTAATACAATTTTAATAGGTTATATATATATATTTTTTGAACAAGGTATAATGAAGCTTGAATTCAATTTAAGTGCAGAGAAAGTACACTTTAACAAGGTGACAAGAGACATTTATTATAATGGGTTGGGTGTAATTTTAATAGGTTATATTAATTATGAATAATGATACATGGGACAAAATAAGAAGATGAAATCATCAGTCGAATCTAAGTTGGCATGTCATCTCAGCAAAATATTACAAATTAGGTCCCATGTCCTTATTTCTAGCATCTTTCGTTTGCTGAAGTAATATGCCAATTCAGATTTGACTGATGATTTTGTCTTCCTATTTCGTCCCGTGTATCATTATTCATTAATTATAAGAGATAAAATAATTTACGGAAAGATTGATGCTGTGGCATTAACAAGTTGTGGAAATAGTGCCACCTATCATCATTCATCTCAGCCCGTTTTAAATTTTGTTGCAATTCTAAAGAGAAAAAAAAAAAGAAGAAATTAAACAATTAATTTATGGATGTTTTAATAGTTTTAAAAGATTTTTTAATAATTAATATTATGTGATAAAAATATGTAAAACTAAGATTATCCCTATCAAATCTAATTAAGGTGATTTACAAGGCAAGTAATTTTACAATCCAACCGAATAATTTTTTTATACAAATATATATATGAAAAAATACATATTAATTCTAGCTTCTAAAATAAAGTGAAGTTCTAACCTTAAATTTTGTTATTTTATTTAATTAAAATTTAATTTAAAATTAAAAATTTATCCTATTAAATAGTAACATTTAGATTTGAAAACTTGTTATATTAGAATATATAATCAATATATAAATTTAAATATCAACATTTAATATATTGAGTTTCTCAATTTTAAATTGAGATTTTGATTTTTAAATATAAGTTTGGAATTTAATTTTTTTTAATTTCTCAATTTTAAATTGAGATTTTAATTTTTAAATATAAGTTGAGAATTTAATTTTTTAAGATTCATGACTTATATACACTAATATATATATTGTATAAAGTAAAAAAAAATATTATTACTAAAATAACCCCAAAAGAAAAAAAAGATTAAAAAATTTATAGAAATGCAAAATGATATACAATAAAAGTTAATTACATCAAAGGTAATAGTGAAAAAGGGGAGAAATTAAACTTTGTAGGCAAACAAATAAGGCATAAAATCACAAAAAATAAAAATACCATTACAAAAAAGATAAAAGACTTTTTCTAATATAAATATAAAATAGATAAAAAGTTTAATTAAAAAGCTTTTAAATCCTAATGAATTTACAAAATTGTCACAAATCAAACTCTAATTTCAGCGAGAAAGAAATATAAAAGAGAGAAATAAAAAGAGAGAAAGAGAGAGAGTAGAGTTGACTCTACTTATTACTTCTTAGATTTGGCCCTAAGTCTTTTTTAAATAAACAAATCATGGATGATTAAGAGGTTAAAAATATTAAACATCAATTTCTTTTCTTAATTCATGCCTGGATGACCATTGTTTTGTCCCAGATGGATTCTTCTAATTCATGCCTGGTTTGCTGGCTTTGCCCAGAAATGGCAGGTTGTTTTCTAACATTTTCGACCGTTTAGCCACATAATTAATTTTAACCAATGTGCTCCATGAGTCCGCCGGTGCACCAACACTAAAATCTCTCCCCCACCCCATTACATTATTTTTATTTCCAATTGTCAAAACACCCTTATACATCCTTCACGAAGCCAATGTGATCATCCCTTAATAATGAATATGACCCATAGTTTTCTCTAGTTAATAGTCCTAGATATCTTCAATTATTAGCATTTTTTGAAAACTAGGATTGAACACATTGGTAAGTAAGTATTATCTTGTAAATTAAGTATAAAGTTTAAGTTTTGAAACTAATACTAAAAGCTATTAAGTTTTTTGAATACACTATACTGATATGGGAGGTGTGTTTTTATAAAATTGTTTAGAGAAAGATTAGTTTTAAAATGTACAAAAATTGATTTAGGGACACCCTAACCGTACGTAAATGAAAAAAAGTTTTTTTAGCACATATAATCTCAAAGGACAAAAGATTCAAATAAGTACACGAATTTTATTTTATTTTTTATTTAAGAATATAATTTTTTTGAGTTTATAAATTATTTAGTGAATTTTCACTTTTTTATTTAAAAATACAAATTTTGTTATTTTTGTATTTAAGGATATGAACTTTGCTCTACGTGGATTAAAATTGTCATTTATCATGTCATCATTGCCATCTAATAGATCTTTAAATAAAAAAAAAAAAGCAAAATTCATATCTTTAATTAGAAAAAAAAGAGAGAAAGTTTATTGCTTGATTTAGAAATCTAAAATGTTTATATTCTTAAATAGAAAAAATGAAAAAATTTGTATTCTTAAATAAAAAAAAATTCTTTATTTACATATTTATTAAGAGATAGTTATTCTATTAAAAAGACTATCCTTTAAATTGTATTGGATTGCAAAAATAAATAATTAAATAAGGAGGTCTCCTAATAAGATTTCTCATATAATTTAGTATAATCTATACTATAAAAGTGAAATTGTAGACTTTTTTTATCTTATTTTCTTTTGAACTACTATCAAAGTTTGAATAAAAAGTTTAATTTTGAAATTTCACTTTATTTGTTTTAAAACTATTGAAGTAGTTTACAAAATTTAACGATTTTTAATGTCCCTAACAAATTTAATAATAACCGTAACTACAAACCCCGAGTGAAAAGGCAAATGAGTTTTGATGGCAAAGGACGAAGAACACACGTCATGGTCTAATTACACGTACACAATTTCCATTGGATAGACCTCAATCTCCACAGTGTGAAAAAAGACAAAATACTGAAAACCTTGAGGGAACCGAATTTAAATTCTGCTGCACTTCTGTAGTGTTAGCATTTAGTAAGTGACGCCGAAGGTAACAGAACAGGACAATCGAGGAACGCTTCCTGTCGCTTTCCGCCGGCATTACTGGACGAACGAAGCCGCTCAGGTACTTTCTCTCTTTCTCCAAGTCCCTGTAAGTAGTAGTGGCTATGGTTTCTCTCTTCTTGTTGCGTATTCGGAGCTATCTCCGGTAGTAGGAGTTAGGGGACCGGAGACTTCTCTAGTGAAGTAATTCTGTATGGAGGGTAGTGTATGTTAGAATTCTGGAAGAAGGAGATTGATTACCGTTAAACTTTTTTGGGAGGTTTTCTCTTATGGGAAGTTTGGATACTGGCGGATTTTTCCAGCCCTCTGTTTCCTTTTTTTTGAGTGACCGTATTAGTCCTCGCGGCTCTTCGATACCTAGGATGTCTCTTTATTTTTGCTACTTTAAATAGTCGTTCTGTGCTCATTTTTTCTTGAAAAATTTCATCTTTTTGGTATTTGATATCTGGGTTTTTGCAAATTACTAGCAAAGGTTTGAGCTTTGATTTTTGGGTTTGTTAGGGAAAAGACAGAAAGATGGAGTTGGTGAAGAAGATGGAGACATCACACTGGTGGTGGCTTGACAGTCACAGCAGCTCAAATCGCTCTCCATGGCTTCAATCTACTCTTTCTGGTAATTCTTCTTACATTTCCTGATCTTTTTTTTGTTGTTCTTAGTTTTGGGATTGCATGGTTTTTGAATCTGAATGATCTTGGTGAATCTTGTTTCATGGACGTTGGGGAGTGTGCAATTTTCAGTGTTTGAAACTTTTGAATTGCTTTTCCTACAATATCACTTTATAGATTTGTGGAAAAAGTTTAGGATTTGAGTTTTAACTTGCAGATTAAACTAGTAACAACATGCCGTGTTATCCATAGTATTTAGGCATTGTTAAAGATTGATTATCGCCCTTATTGGTGATTCATCATCTAATGAGGAAAAACCAAGATTTTCTTATCTTGGAGTTAGTTAAATAATGCGTCTGGCACTAATTTATTGTGCCAAGTTGCATGGTTGTTGCTAAATAATGTTAGTGGATGACTATTTGGGGTAAAAGGGACTAGTGAAGGTTCCATGAATGGTGCCATGGTTGTTTCCTTGTTGGGGAAATTGGAATGCATTTATCCTTCTCCCAAAAGGAATTTCAATTTGTCCCATGATTATGATTTACATAGTACCTGTAGCACTCATTATATCCATAAATCTTTAATTCCGATAAAGCTAGGAATCGGCCTTAGGTTCAAGGGATAGTGAAAATTAGAGACTTAAGGAGGGCTGGCTGGTTGATTAATAATCAGAAATTGTGCAGAAGATGGACCTGGGGGTGGGGGGGTCCAAAAACGGACTGGGTAGGTGAGTGGGGATGTTGAGGACCCAAGTCTAGGTTTGGTATCTTAATAAATTTTACAGTGATTATTACATGAGAATGAAAAGGAATTGAGTAAAAATGGTTAATACATATGGTTGGAAAATGATTTAAAGATAATTTTTTTGTACAACTTTTTCATACAACTTTACATATCATATAATGATTGACTTTTTTTACTCAATTAATTAATACTCATGATATTACATGCATGAACTCATATCATTACCCATATACTGTCTGTGGCGGAATAAAATTGTTGTAGGCTATTTAGGTAAGTTGGAACAATGTTGTAAATTGTAATATTTATTACTCCTCCCCCCCTATTTATTAACTATTACAACATTCTTTCTTCCAAGTTTTTTCAAAAAGTTAGGTACAATTTCATCCAACTCAATTGCTGTAAAATCAATTTTAGTCTGTTACTTTACATTCTATAGCTAGGTAATAATCATTCCAATGTAGGAAACATGATATGGTTCTGATGTTTAAAGTCTATGGTCATTGATATCACTTTGGGAGGTGGATTTGGATATGGTGGTCTGCAGGATATTGATATGCTCAGCATTGTCCACTTTCCACCTCTGCTTCTTTCCAATTAACTTTTAGGAGGAGCCTTTGAACTTCGAATCATCATTTTAAAGACTCTGAAAGAACTCTTTTTGACTTAATAATGAACTGGATCCATTCCAATGTGGGTAACCAAAAGTAACAAGTCTAAAGCTGTGGATTCTGTAAAGTGGGTGGGGTCCTGCAGTATTTCCACTTCTCCACCAACAATGAACACAATAGTAAATTCAGTTTTACTTTCCTTTTCTTGCTTCTGTTTCCTCACTTCTTTTTCTGGTCCTTAAATTATGAAGTTTGTTTATATTTAAAATCTCTTAAAGCCCAAAGTCTTATGTGGTGGGTTAATATTAGGAACCTTGTCTTATAGGTTATTATAGGAAAAATCCAACGTCTTGTAACAACTATATCATTAATTTGTTAACCTATGCATCTGATTAAATGATGGTGCGGTTTATATGACTGCATCTCTGCTTCCTAAATGCAAGAGCTTGATGGGAAGACACAGGCAATGCTGAAATTGATTGAGGAAGATGCAGATTCCTTTGCCCAACGTGCTGAAATGTATTACAAGAAGCGACCAGAGCTGATTAGCATGGTTGGAGATTTTTATCGAGCCTTCCGCTCATTGGCCGAGCGGTATGATCAACTTAAATCAGATGGCGGAACTCGTCTCTTAACAACACTGGTCTCTCCTTTCTCTTCCTTCAAATGTTGCTCAGAGAAGTCAACAACGGCCAGTATGGACAACACCTCTGATAGTTGCTCTGAGACTTTTGAGGCTGAGGGCTATGCTGAATCTGAAGTTGAGGATCCTGAACAGGATGAGAGAACTCTAATTAACATAGGAGGAAAACAGGTAGAGAATTCCGTGAAGGGAGAAGAAAACCAAACTGACAAAGTAGCAGAAGAGCCTATACATCCTGAAGAGGAAGATGGAACTATACTTGATCAAGAAACTGGAGAACTAATTTTAAGTAAGGTCCACAATGATGAATTGATGATGAAGTTAAGGAAAGCAGTGGAGAGACTAAAGCAAGAGAGCAAAGTTCAGAAGGCTCAACTGATGGAGAAAGTTGAAGAGAAAAGGAAAGTTCTGAGTGAGCTTTGGAATGGTGAAGTAATGAAATTGAGGACAAAAGTAGAGAAGCTGGAGGAAGAAAACAAAGGTCTGAAGGCTCAACTGATTGAGAAAGATAAAGAGAAGAGGAAGGTCTTGAGTGAGATCTGCAATGCTGAAGTAATGAAGTGGAAGGTAGAAGTAGATCAACTAATGGAAGAAAACAAAGTTCTGAAGGCTCGAGTGGTTGAGAAAGATAAAGAGAAAAGCAAGGTCTTGAGTGAGATCAGTAATGCTGAAGTAATGAAGTGCAGGGTAGAAGTAGATCGACTAATGGAAGAAAACAAAGTTCTGAAGGCTCAACTGATTGAGAAAGATAAGGAGAAGAGCAAGGTCTTGAGTGAGATCTGCAATGCTGAAGTAATGAAGTGGAGGGTAGAAGTAGAAAGACTACTGAAAGAAAACAAAGTTCTAAAAGCACAAGTGATTGAGAAAGATAAAGAGAGTAGCAAGATCTTGAGTGAGATTTGCAATGCTGAAGTAATGAAGTTGAGGGTAGATAGACTGATGGAAGAAAACAAAGTTCTGAAGGGTCACCTGATAGAGAAAGATAAAGAGAAGAACAAGGTCTTGAATGAGATCTGCAATGCTGAAGTAATGAAGTTGAGGGTAGAAGTAGATAGACTGTCGGAAGAAAACAAAGTTCAGAAGGCTCAACTGATAGAGAAAGATAAAGAGAGGAGCAAGATTTTGATTGATCTCAGCAATGATGACGTAATGAAGTTAAGGGTAGAACTAGAGAGACTAGAGGAAGAGGACCATATTCAGAAGGCTCAACTCATGCAGAAAGATGAAGAGGAAAGAGATGTGATTAGACGTCTTCAAGTGCTCAAGAATCAGTATATGGAGTTGAAGAAAGAAGCAGAGAGACTGAAGGAAGAGGATCATATTCAGAAGGCTCAACTCATGCAGAAAGATGAAGAGAAAAGAGATGTGATTAGACATCTTCAAGTGCTCAAGGATCAGTATTTGGAGTTGAAGGAAGAAGTGGGGGGATTGAAGGAAGAGGAACAGATTCAGAAGGCTCAACTCATGCAGAAAGATGAAGAGAAAAGAGATGTGATTAGACATCTTAGTTTGGCTATTCAAGTGCTCAAGGATCAGAATATGGAGTTGAAGAAGAGTATCAAGAGAATTCCCCACAAGAAATGGAATGCCTTTGACTTCAGCAAATATATGCGGGGTTTTCCTGGAGCTACTTAACAGATCTCAAAAGCTTCAGGTAACTGTTGTTGGTCTTTGGATGTAGGTTACAGGAAAGCAAGTAGCATAACCGGTAGAACACAGCAATACAGATTTGTAATTGTTGTATATCTCTGAACACAATTGATATAATGTTACTTTCTAAAATAGATCCAATTGTAACAAATGTAGTATTGTGTCTTTTTGTGTGGCAAAAGGAGTGCAATTTAACAATCATAAGGAAAATAGGTTTTTCAATTTGGATTGCACAAAAAGAGTGCAGTATGAATTCGGAAAACAACAACACACCCTAAATGGATCATCTTTAAAGGGAATTTTAATATTTTCATAGTCTAGACTGCACAACAGAACTGCAGTCCGGACTCTGGACTGTAAAAACCGGACTCTTCTTAGAATACATAAGGAATTTTAAGACCAAAACAGAGACTTTATTTATTTATCTATTATTTATTGTCCTAAAATGTTAATCCTATCACAACTCAACAATGCAATACACCATGTACCTAACACCACAATAACCAAAAGTAATATGTATTCTACAAAAAGAAATTTACCAAAACAAATGAGAAAGTGGAACCACTAGCAACAATAATTGAAGATGCAACCAACAGTAACTACACACCGGAAAGCTGCATTATGCCAAACACCATTAACCCAAGAAGCAAAGCTGAATTTAGAGTTCCTGATAGAGCAAGGGAAACAGATGAGGAATCCGGCAAAGACTCAGATGGTGAAAGTACAAAGCCAGGTCCCGGAGCAAGTACAGCATCTGGATTTGGGGGGCTTGGACTTGCAGGGATGGTGGGTAGAGATGATTCAGCCGGAGAAGGAGACATGTCACCTCCTGGAGTAGGGAACAACGGAGTAATATCTGGGGATAGTGCTGGAGCAGAGGCTAGAGGAGCATCTGGCAATAATGCAGGCGCAGCTGATATGCTGGAGAATTCTATTCGCATTTGGGACGACAAGGCTGATGAAGTAACCAAACAAGCCATAAAGGCCATGAGAACTACCCAAAATGACCAAAAGGAAGCCATTATATGATGATGGTATCAATTCTCCCACAATTAGAACTTCAATAAATGTGTCTATAGCATAAGGGAGAAAGAAAGAGAAAGAGAAAAGATGCAAAGAAAGTTGAGAAAATGGAGAGGTTTATGATTAGAGGTATTGTAAAAAGTGGCTGTGGGCACCATGAGAGCAAGAAAGTGAAAGGTGGTTGGGACACTTTCTTGTGATACAGCCCTGCTGTCGTACAATTGGACAATGTTTATTTGTAATTTTCTTCAGAAGCTCATGAAGATGGGATGTCTTTTTTGGTCTGAATGTTTGTTGTTATGCTTCGCCCGTGACATTCTTTTATAACAGAGAAATAAACATTCAAAAACTTTATGCACATACTTCTTTGCAAAATGACAGTGACTACAAATATGATATTAAGGAATTTTGGCTTTGTTAAACGTCATGGAGATGTCTTATTTTTCCTACTTTATTAGGGAGAACAAAAATTAATGCCCGGCACGTAAGTTGTAAGAGCGTAAGGAATTCAAGTTGAAAGTTTTAAGTTTGGAAGAAATTTAGGAAAGAAGAGGGATATTCCTATTGCATATTAGATGTACAAAAGAAAAAGTGAGAACTCTAAGTAATTAATATGGGGAAAGGTGGAGAAAGCAATAATTGTTGTTTGAGAGGTATGATTGAGTAAATAATTGCCAAAGGCTTTACATGAACAAGAAATCAAAAAAGCAAAAGTGAGATGAGATCTTGATTTAGTTAACCAAATATTTAATACATTTTCGGTTTTCCCCTTGGTGGATTGGTAAGGAAGGACCGAGGACTAAAAATGGTTAAAACAGTCACATAGCTTTAAGTGTCAAGCAACATTGATTTCTCAAAACATTTTGTATTTCATCAGCATAGCTAGAGTCTCTCATGCTTTCAAAATTCAAAAGCTTTGGCCAGAACAGAATGTTAAGCATATTCTCCAAGCTTTTTGAGCTATATTTCACATGCTTAGAAGCATCAGCATCCCCTTCCACCAGAAGAGTATAGTTCTGCAGATAGTACTTATAAGCAGGCACAATAGTCTGGACTAAGAGCTGACACATCTTCTGCCTCAAGCCTTTATCAGATATTACCCAATTTGACTGCATCTTGTAGATGTCCTCAAATGCTTCATTGAAGGCCTTTAGACTCTTCTTGAGGAGATTGGGGCCAGTTCTGCTGTTAGGAGAGGAGGAGATTTGATTCTCTTTGGTTAGAAAATGCAGCAGCTTTCCCCAGGTTTCTTTCAGGTAAAGTGCTGCATAGTAGTCCTTGTATTGCCCATGAGCACTCAACCAAGAATCTCCCATCATGCTGCCTAGGCTTGTGACTTTCAGACTGTGGAAATGACAATGATTATTCATCATGAAAATGTAAGATAGTGGGGTGCTCTCATAGGCTTTTGACCACACATCCAGGTTAACTGCAATTTCCCTCATTATACTATAAATCTGGCCGGTGAAAAGCACTTCTTCATACTTCTCATTTTTCCACATTTGGTTTATCTCCAAAACCTTGGTCAACATTGGCCGATACTTATCGCCCAGCAGCTGGTTAGAGTAGTCAGTCACAAAAGTAACCAACCTTGGTATGCTGCCATCTGTAGGTGGAGGACTTTGCCTTTGTTGCTCTACTTGTAATGGAAGTTCCCAAAATATCTCATCAACTCCATTGACAACTTTCTTAATAAGATCTCTTGTCATGTTTTGGATTTCAACACAGGCTACCCCACCAAAAAGTCTATTGAAATCCATTCTCAGCTGATCAAGAACTGCAAAAACTTGCAGAAGCTTCAGGAGTTTGATGGGATCTTTCTTACTTTTGGCAATGCTCATTCCAAATTGGAGTAAAGAAAGAATCCCAGATTGGGCCGAGATCTCCGCAAAACAACCTGTCCAGACATCTGATTCAGTATGATTGAAGACTTCTTTACACAATCTGTATTCAAGCTCAAGAACATACTTCACAGCCAGCTCCAATTGCTTGCCCCATTGAGTTATGCAGCCTTCTATATCCTGAAAGTCGTCAGATTCTGTGATTGATTTCTTAAGAAAATCAGTATCAAGAGTTTGCAAACTTCTTCGAGCACACATACTTCGAGCCTCAACAATTATGGTCCTGCAATTCTTTAGCCTGCCATTAGCGTTCAATCTTTTAACAATAGCCTGTAATTTCCCCAGTATAGACCCTGGGAAAACTGCTGAAGCGACATATCCTTGCTCTACAGTTGATAATGATGACAAAGAAGTATCCATCAAAAGCCGCTTGAATAAAGTCTCCAGCTTGTCAAATGCAACATACAGAAGCCCTCCTTTTAAACAAGCATGTTCCCTGGTTCCCTGCAACTCCTGCAGAATCTTAAATGACATTTGCAGCTTTGAGATATACCTATCATCAATAGTAAAATCACCATCTGCCATGAACTCCACAAGACCCTGCAGCCATTGGATTGCCAGGCGGCAATTATCAGCAAGAAACTTCAATGCTTCTTCAAGCCTTACAGTTGCTGAAATGTAATTGGAAAGATCATCAAGAGAAGGGACTGATAATAGCATCTCCTCTAGTTGACGAATAGAATCAAACATCTTGAGGACAGCTGCAGCAGGGCCAACAGCAAGATCAACATGGTCTCTGAAAGCAACAGATTTGCATATTCTAGACGAGCAGGGTCCAACTTGAGCTTCCAAAGCTGGCAACTTTATCTTTATCTCCTCCAATCTCGGCCCAGTTCTCTCCAAAGCAGAGGCAAGAGCTCTAGAGTTTTCTAAGCTAGTTTTCAACAGCTTCCTGGCAGCTGAAAGATTGTGAATGCCATCAATCTCAGCCATGGCCAAGAAAGATGTAAATATCTGAATCTAATTCTGATACCATTACCATTTCTGCATTTATATGTTCAACTTTGGATTGAAATGTTTGTGGGTTTTCTTCAGAATCACTCATTTACTTTTCCTCACCCAACTCACCAAAGTAAGTAAAAAGAAGACTAACCATCTTCAAACCAAACCTCCCTTGGAAAACAAACATGGGTCAGAAACCTCAACTACCACATGGCTTAAGATTTCTTTGGGATATGAAGAAAGAAAAAAGGAACCCCTAGATGGAACTCTTTCCAATTTACTGGTTTTGTCTTGCATTTCACTTTCAAAAACTGCCCAACCGTCTGTCTTCATCTCTCCATCAACAACGACAAGCACTTCACTCGAATCTGTATGGAAATAAGCTTACGCGTTGTCAAACTTAAATGGCATCTATCTACCACACTGGTTGTATTATGATCTAAATGTCATATCATATTTGTATGAATTGATGCAACCTAAAGGGGTTGCTATTATTGCCCCATTTGCCTAATTTTTTGGTACAACGAATGGAATAACTACCCTTTTCCCAAAATTTTAAGGATTTTTGAGGTGTATTTGGTTTAAGGAAACGGAGACAAATTAGGGGGGTGGGTGGGGAAGATGGGGTGATTTTACTAACCAATTAAATTATAATATTTAAAAATATTATAATTTAATTAATTAAAAAATTTATTTATTCCCATTCTCCTTTTTCTTGAAAGCAGACACTCTTTATGCTTAGGAATAAGGAGATACCGAGAAAAGAAGACCAATACTT